ATGCACCCTCAGAGTGTCCTCCCAAGTCAAACAAACAATTTGCATAAAATGAACTGGTTGTTAAGCATGTTTTGAATTTAATTTTCCATGATTTGTTTTTGGATAAGCTATGTGTCTAACACTTGTGGAAATCCATCACCTTGCTTAAGTGTATCCAAAACAGACTGAGAATCTACTTACGTATGCCACCCACACATGGAAATTTGCATCTAACATGAAATGCGCAACCTCTCCCTGGAGCTACATACCCTGTTTACTTAATTAGATGCAGGTTGGCAAGAGCTGAGGCTTGGGGACCCCAGAGTGTGCATTGAGGTACCACTGGAGTCCAACCAGTTAAAACCGTATAGCTTATCACTGAGAACACAGTCTGGCAAGTGTTCCTGCTGCTTGTTCAGCTAGGACTACCCTTCCCATTAGTGCTTTGACTTGCGGAGTTAACTAACTGGGAAGAATCCCTACTCTCAGGGATTGTTTCAAATTGTTTGTGCAGCCAAAAAGGTTCCAGAATCTGTTGTAGGAAACTACTACATTTTAGTCACAAAATAAATGCTTCCTGTGAGCTAAAAGTCCCAACAAGGGGTTTGACCCTAACCTCTGAGACCAGCATGTTTACTCTTATGGAAAACTGACAATGCCCACCAGTCTATCTAGCTACCTAAATCATTTCTCTTAAGATTGGTTCACTCACTTTAACCAACCCTAAATCCTTTTGTTTGAAAGAAACATTTATAGTTCCCTTTAGAACTTCAATACTCTGTAGTGCCAACAATACTTTGTAGTGCCAACAATTTTTTCTGCATATATGTCAGCCTGGCTCAAATGGTAGCAATCTTGATCAAAAGATTGTGAGTTTAAGCCCCAGATCAAGTATTTGAGCTCATCATTCAGGCTGACACTCGAGTGCAGTGTTGAGGGATTGCTGGATTATCAGAGTTGCTATCCTTTGGATGAGATGACCTAAACCAAGTCCCTGTTGAGAGGGATATCAGGCCTGACCCCAGAGCAGCCAGTCTTGCTGCTGGGACTTGGAATGGCAGACCTATCACTGGGAATAGGGATTTTTCCTGATAACTCTGCAAACCAAAGCCCTACAGGTGGGTGGCTCTTGCCTTGGAGTACTGTGGACCCAACCAGTCAAGAACTGAATAACCGAGGCTGCCTATTTGATTCCTTTGTTCAGTTGGCAAGCTGGTCACTTTGAAGCCAGATCAACTCCAAGGACACCTGGCTTACCCCTCCCCACCCAAGCAGGTGAGTCACAAGTTGGTTATTTGACATTCGACAAGCACAGGTTTGAACCCTTATAAAAATCCCATTCAGTTCAAATTGCAATGCCCCAAACTCCGTCCATGGAGTTTGTAGTGTAGTAGAATTCCTATATCTGCACTTTGGTGTTCAATGTGAATCATTTACAAATAATAACTAGAGTGAAGTTCTAGGGTCTGGGAATTCTGCTCTGAAATAATAACCTTTGCGTTTGCCTCATTTTCAGCTTTTGTTTCTGCATCTCACCATCCCAATTTGTCAAGATATTTCCATGGAGAAAAAGATAACAAAGACATATATGGAGTTCGCAAACCTTTCTTTGGAGTTAAAGAAGACACACAGCTTATGGACATACCAAAAGTCAATCAACCCGTCAATGAACCGTACAGTGTCCCATTCTCTTATGCCCCCGTTAACCACTGGTATGGAGGTGACTCATCCACCTATGAAATGACAAAGGACAAGTTTGCCCTGGCTGCTGATCGAACCTGTAAAGATCAATCTGGCATTTGTAAAGGCCCCTGCAAAGATGACTATGTTGCTTTGAATGGTGTCTGTTATAAATACATTCACCTCCAACTGTGCTTCGCTGATGCAGAGGTAACGTGCCCAAGATTTAAATTATGTTATGAATGGTATATTATTATTCCATTGTTGATAATAGTTTCAGAGAGGAAATAGTTTTTGCTGTGCCTCAAAGTTGTACATGAATTGAGCAGATTATTTAAACAAATTATGATGTTGACTTCTGCACAAGCAAGAATAAAGGTGGTATCTGGCTTTGCCAATGCAGAGGTCAGAGAATTCAGTGCCACGTATGAAATAGAATCATATAGACCCAGAGCGTTCTTGATCCAATTGTATTGCGAGCTCAGGCAATGAGTCCCAACCTAAAGAGCTCTAAGGGCACTCGTAGGATCACTACATTGTCATGGTGAGATAAACTAACTGAACCCAAACCAGGAATCAACCTTAGGATCTAACAGGGTTTCATAAGAACAGTGAAGGACAGGACACATCATACCTCCGAGCCATGACTTTCTGGTATTAAATTATTAAATTTGCCATCTAAATTTAGACTCAAAGTTGATCCCAATTCTGGAAACATCTCTCTCCCAGATAATCCAAATATCCAACTATCAATTAATCTAAACACAGAAAACAGCTCTTCAGTTGCCACATTTCCCAAAGCGTTGGGCATCATTTGCTGCAATATAATTGGAGAAAACAATAAGTTTTGTTTTATTAAAAAGCTAAGTGTGTGTGTGTGTGTTTATGTATGTGTGTTGAGGGCCGAATCTCCATGCTTGAAAAGAGCAGGAGAAGACAAAATTGATCAAGTTCTGGTTTGAAGAGTGGTTAGATATACATTAACCTGTAGAGTGTGGCAAAAAAGCAAAGACTAGGGGAGTTGAGGCATCCAGGAAAATAATGAGTTGAAAGAGAAGATGCTGTGATATGTTTTTATTTCAACGGATTGAGGATTGAGGGAGAAAGGAGAAGGAGTGAGATCTGGAGCTTGGGAGAAAAAGAGGGGAACATTCAGAGGATGCCTGTCAGACTTGTATCCTGTCCTGAATGTGAGAGAGTAAGAAAGAGTCTCCTGATATACGGGAGATAAAAGAACAGAATTTGCAGAGTTAGAAAGGGGTAACTATGTGTATTTCTGTTCCCTTTTTATAAAATGGAGATAAACTATTCAATGTAATAGCATTATATTTAAGCACTCTGAGATGCTACACTGCGTGGAGGGCACTATGTAAGTGCAAGTTGATGTTGTTGTCCTCCCGACGTGAATGGCACTATACAAATGTGATTTTGTTGTTGTATAAATTGTAAACATTATATACCATATCAAGTTTTTCCTTATTGTTCTTAAATATTTATACAATAGTTATGTAATATTCAGTTCATTACTTCTACAAATCATAATTTACACATGACTGACTCTAATTTTCTAAAGTTTTTTCAATCCATGACGTAATTGAAGAGGACTTTGAGCAGTCGAATGTAATTCCTTTAAGGAAGACAAGGTTTGGAAAATTCTTCAAATTCCAATTAAGGCAAAATAGTCTTGGAGGATAAGGCTTAGTGAAATTCTGACCTCTCAAATCTAGTCTCATGGGAAACCTTAATCAGATGTGGAAGGAAGTTCTTGCTTCAAGTCTATTGTGTTTGCTTGCACTCTATTTGGAAACATTTACTCTCCCAGCCCTGGGTGATCACTCTGGAGACTGGTGAGTTTGACTGTCAGTAATCTAATTCTGCACCCTGTGGGATTGGCCATACAAATAGTTAGCATTTTTTATAAAGACATTTGGACTGTTAGAAACCAGTAGAAAGTACATATAAAGTACTGCACTGGGTTTTTGTCAAAACCTGTGTTTTTAAAGTCTTTTTTTCTTTGTTGGTTGAGCTAACTTTGAATGATTACATCTGATTGTCTGCCGTTTGACATTTTGTCAAACTGGTGTTTGTAAACTGATAATGACTTTGTGCCATAAATATATGCCAATTGGTAAATATCCAGACCAGCAGAAAATAATAATTCTTAATAATAATCGTTGTATTTGATATAGCAAGGAGCCCTGTAGCTTAGTAGTTAAATCACTTGCCTCACAGGGTTTGATTCCCAGGCAGGGCGAAACATTAGGCAAGTTTCCTTACTCCACACACCTTTGAATACCTAACAGTAAGTAGGAGCCTGGATGTTAGTCAATTGGCGGATCATTTGTCTGGGCGTAATAATACCTTCCAAAAAAATGTTTTTTCAAAATTTGGTCATTTAATCCATGAATGTTTGTGGGACACTGCTGTAGGCAATTGGCTGCCATGTATCGCAGACAAAATATACAGTGAATTCACTTTACAGTATATTTTGTGGAGCATTTTGAGACATCTCGAAGGTGTGATTAGATGCAATATCAAATGCAAGGATTATTATTATTATTGTGTCTTATCAGGTTGTTGATAGGACTCAAAATGCTTCATACAATATACTGTAAAGTGAATTGACTATATTTTTGGTCATATGCGGCAGCCAATTGCACATAGAGTTATTCACCATGTAAATATTCTCTGGTAGGAAAATAAATACTCCAAAAGACAGACCAAGATATGCCACCCATCCCACAATTTTTGGCTGACTTCCAAAAAATACAAGATGACATTCAAAAGATTAGAGAAGAGGAAGTATCCATGCTGTAGTGGATTGATTGACCAAGTTATGATTTTTTTTAAAGGGATTATTACCATAGAAAGCGATCCAGCATCAACTAACAACTGGGTTCCTATTTTCTGCTAGGTAAACAGAGGCATATAGAGTAAGCAAACATGCCAAAGGTTTTGCCCTACCCAGGAATTGAACCCGGGTCCTCTTGCTTGTGAGGCGAGTACTCAAATTAATACACTGCACGGACTCCACCAGTATATAAGAATAAGCCTTTCAGTGTTTGATTAAGTTGTTTGGCTTAGGAGGACAGTGGAGAAGCTATTCTCGTCTTTGATCAGCTTTGATAGTATGTTATCAGCGTTTGTTCCACTGTGACGGATGAAAATATAGAGAACCAGTCAGACTGCTGAGACAGTTTTTTCCTGAAACTCTAGCAGACGAGGTGTTAAACGTATTAATTCTTATTTTGAAACAAATAACTGTGATTTTTCATTATCCAATCTGCAGCAATACTGCAAGCAAAATGCGCCCGGTGGCCATCTAGCCTCCATTCACTGCCGATTGAATCATATGTTTGTCACAAATGTGATTGAGGTCTCGTATATAACATTTCCGTACACTTGGCTTGGGGGCAGTGATTGCAACAAAGTAAGTATCATTTGCTTTTTCTGGCTTCACTGAATGTATTTTAATTATTTTCCAATCTCTATTTCTCTTGAAGATACTGGGTTCAGGCCTGAAGTTAAACTGGTAACTTGCTTGGTCTGCCTGAGGTTTGCTTTGCAACCCAGCCATTGTGTACACCACAATACTATAACACTGTGTACACCACAATACTGTAACATTGTGTACACCACAATACTCAGCACAATATTGTTCAAAACTAACATTGCACATAATTGCTGTGCGCAATTGGCTGCCGCGTTCGCCCACAAATATACAGTCAATTCACTTTACAGTCTATTCTGTGAAGCGCTTTGGGACGTCCTCCCACGTGAAAAGCGCTATATCAAATGCAAGGATTATTATTATTATTATAATGTACAATACTATACAAATGTACACAGTACAATACTGTACAAATAAACACAGTAAAAACGACAATATGTACTAATGTACACAGTACAATTCTGAATAAGTGCATAAAGCGCAATACTGTGTCACAACATAACATTGTGTCAATACGACATAAATCTGTAATGCCAACAGGCTCCCTCAATTCATCTTTTCCTGGGAATGTTGGACAGCTGACAATGGAATATTAAAGAGTCATTGATTCATTGCAGGAGGGGATTTTCGTTTGGACTGATGGTTCACCCATGGACCACACAGCTTGGTGTCCCAGTGAACCATTCAACGCAAATGGAAAGGAGAGCTGTGTTGCACTCAACCACAAGAGTAAGTTGACTTTCTCTCATATGTATTTTAATGTTCTTAAGAGGATCTGCAAGAAACAAAGGCTCAATGCCACTTCAAAGCAGATTCTTACTTATGCAAATTTTGTACTGACGGGCACCATATCAGAAATGAGAAGGCCAGGCTACACTATGTCAATAATAAACTCATTGCAATTCCCAAATGTTCCCTCCACAAACTGCAAACTCTCCAGACCTGTGCAACTCGTATCCTCCCCTGCACCAGATTCCGCAAACCTACCAACGCCATCCTCACCCAACTCTACTGGCTCCCCATCTCCCAGAGCATTGAGTACAAGATCCTCATTTTCACCTTTAATTCCCTCCACACGTTTGCTCTACCCTACCCTCTTAGACCCTATCAACCCACCTGCTCCCTCCACTCAGCAGGCACTGGCCAGCTTATCATCCCTCACCCTGCCTGCCCCACCATCGGAGAAAGGACTTTCAGCCTATCTGCCCCCACTCTCTGGAACTGCATCCCAAAGTCGTCCATTTTACTCCTTTCCTCGCCTCTTTCAAGGTCGTCTTCTTTGACCGCACCGTCGGTCATCTTTCCACCCCATTGCCCTTGACAAACCCCCTCCCACCCCACGACCCACCATAATCCAAGCTCGGGTGCAATCCCTCAACTGTCCAGTGTTATAGAACGTCCTCCTTACATGAACAGAGCTATATAAATGCAATTTGTTGCTGTTAGGAAGTGGAACATTCAACCGGTCAGTCACACGCAGAGGAAAATCTCTTTAGCTCTGCTCAAATACCTAGCGAACTTCATCTCAGTCGCGTACCTACTGTGTTAGCAAGTACCGGTGTGATATGTCCAATAACAGCCACCTGGATTCGATCACCAAATTAATGTTGAATTGAGAACAACCACACCAGGAACTATAATCCAAATACCCTGTCTATTCTCATACGGAGTCTTGCAGTAACAGACAGAGACCCTTGGCAGACTGGACTGTATTAGAACCATGTCAAAATGACAATTTGCTAACCCTGTTCACCTATGGCCCCACTGTCAGATATGAGGAACTGATGGAGCTACATGGACGGTGAATGCGGGCAAGATTACAACACTCTGGAAATTTGTGTTTTTCGTGACAAAACGATCAAAGTGCACTTCATGCAACAGCAACTTGCAATTATATAGCATCCTCCACTCAGGGTAGTGTCTCAGAGCACTTGATGACACATAGAGGAGCAATGCTGCATTGAATCACATCTTGAACTTCAAAATTCCACTGTCCTCCAAGGCCAAAATGGCTGGAACGATCTGATGTGACCCCAAAAAAATTAATTCATCACTAAGATGTCAATCTCACTGTCATAGGGCCAATCTGATAATAATAATAATCCTTGCATTTGATATAGCGCTTTTCACGTCTTCTAGACATCTCAAAGTGCCCTCACAGAATATGCTATAAAGTGAATTGACTGTATATTTGTGGGCGAAATGTGGTAGCCAATTGCACACAGCAGTGTCCTACAAACAGTCGTGAATTGAAAATGACCAATTTATTATTATTTTTTTGTTTTGGAGGGATTATTATTAAGCTTGTGGAGTAAGGAAACTTGCCCAAGGTTTCGCCCTGCCTGGAATTGAACCCAGGTGTCTCGTTTGCAAGGCGAGTGCTTGAAGTAGAGTGGAGTGAGTGAGTGCTTATCTAGGTTGAGACATAGATAGTTCAGATAGAACTTTACTCTACAATTGACCCAACCTGTACTAGACTTGAGAATGTTTGGAGAGCTCTATCTCAACTGATCCATGCTGTGCCTGACCTGGTGATGCTTGACAATGGAATGGAATTACGATGGAATATTGCTCTATTTCCCAGCACAAACTTCCCTCATTTTGTTTGCTGCTTGGCAGCGAGACAGTGCAATTCAATTTGAGCGCTGGCTATTTTGGCATGATATATATAATATATTTTGGCATGATGTGGCTTTGTATCTAAGTATTATTTTTATCACCCATCTGAACTCATCCTTCCGAAACACCCACCCTACCATCTTTAAATCACAGCATCAAGCTACTGTTTAAATATGTCCCATGACCTGGCAAACTGTTACAGTCATTAATTACCCTGTGGTTAAGCAAAAACTTGCTGGTTCTGTCCTGAAATTGCCCTTTGCAGCTACAGGACGTGGAGTCCTGTAGTTCAGTGGAATGGAATCCTGTAGCTCAGTAGTTAGAGCACTCGCAAGCAAGAGACCTGGGTTTGATTCCTGGGAGAACGAAACATTGCGCAAGTTTCCTTACTCCACGCCCTGTTTACCTAGCAGTAAGAACCCGGTTGTTAGTTGATTGGCGGATCACTTTTCTGGGGGTAATAATTCCTTAAAAAAAAAAAAAAATTGGTCACTCAATCCATGACTGTTTGTGGGACACTGCTGTGTGCAATTGGCTGCCGCATTTCGCCCACAAAATATACAGTCAATTCACTTTGCAGTATATTCTGTAAAGACATCTCAAAGACGTGATAAGGCATTATATCAAGTGCAAGGATTATTATTACTATTAAAAGTACTTGGTGGTTTGATATATAATTCATAGAATCATAGAATTATACAGCACAGAAGGAGGCCATTTGGCCCATCGTGTCTGTGCCGGATCTTTGAAAAGAGCTATCCAAATCAATCCCACTCCCCTGCTCTCTCCCCATAGGCCTGGAAACCTCAAACAAAAGCACCCAGTTTCGACTGCCTAGCAAATTTATTAATCCCCAACATCTGCCCTATGATTAACTGTTAATTGACTTATTTGCCTGCTTACGTATAAGGTTGTCTCTACCGCAAGAAAGATTTCCCACTCTTCTGCTGAATGAAAGAGTTCTCTCTTGCTCTCTGGTATCTCTCTTGCTGAAGAATTCCTACTCTCACCAAATTCCTTAACAAAATTCTCACTCTGTTCTACCTCACTCAATTCCCTCCTCACGGTGCTGGGCTCTCTGCTCCAATTCAAATCCAATTCAAATTCAAATGCTTTTGGACATCCTCTCAACATGAAAGGTAAATAAAATAAGTGTAAATTGTAATGTATTGTATAATTCAGCCCTTTACTGGCTGCTGACCTGCTGTGAGCCATCTCGTACTCTCAATAAATCCTGCCAGTCAGACGATATTTCCTCCAAAATAAATAACGTAACATTATTATCAAGGAACAATCAAAAACATATTGGCATGATGATGCGGAAACTATTAGGCGTTTCCACATCACCATGCCTAAGAGTATCCAAACCAGAGAATTCCATGCATCCCACCTACACATAGACATCCTTCTTACCTAATTCCATAGAGTACAAAGCACGGGTTGGCAAGAGCCAAGGCGTGGAGTCCCCAGAGTGTACCCTGGGGTACTGCTAGAATTTAACGAGCTAAAGCCTAGTTATATGCATTGAAGTTATTATCTGGCAAGCTTCCTGCTGCTTGTCCAGCTCGGACCACCATAACCATTTGAGCTTGGCTTGCAGGGTTAACGAGCTGAGTGGGAGGATTCCCTGCCAGGCGAGCTGGTCTGTCATCAGCAGTGCTCCAAGTATCCGTCTCTCTGCTCAGGCAACTTGTGCAATTCTACACTTATTCATGTATTGAAAAGGTTAAATCTCATTCTGTTTATATTTTTTTTAGGTCACTTTCTCTGGTCAAGTGAAGACTGCAACAAACAGTTCAATTTTGTCTGTGCTTATAAACTGGCCTGTCCAAGCCCTGACTGTTCAGCTTGTTGAACCACATGAAGCATTGGTTGAATAGCCTTACATTCTACCTGACATGTTGGTCTGTTATTAGTAGAAAATAAAGTAGTGAAGCGCTCTGTTTTGTCTATGTTTGTTAATGTATCCATATAAGTGAAGAACAATTTATAGTCTTCAACATTCCTTGATTCACTCATATTGTTGACCCTGGCTTATTCAGTACTTCATCCATTATTTCATCATCAGCCCAGGCAACTCAGTTTATGGAGCACTGAACCTGGGACCATAATAAGCCCTTCATACGGCCAGAGCATATCCAGGCTAACCATGCCTGAGAAGAAGTCCAGCAGAGAGGAACACGCCTGATACATAACTTCAGAGTTATGAGGAACAATTAGATAAGTCCTCAGCCTCAAAAACAGATGTCTTCAAGACGCGCTCAGAAAGGTTATCAGAAGTTTTAAGGACAGGGAAAATAAATCTGGAACATTTTCTGATATCCCAAGAGAGCAGGGCAAGAGGACACAGGTTCAGAGTTGTGAAAACAAGCTTTATGACATTTGCCAGCAAGCATTTCTTTACAGAGAGAAATCAACAGCTGGAGCAAGTAACCAAAAAGAATAGTTAAGGGAAATTACAATCTGTAACGGGAAGATGCTAAGGTGGGATTTCACATAATGAAAGGTTGAGATCAAATAGGATAAAGGGCCTTATTGGCTTAGTTTACAACACTTCCACATCAGGTTCTGGGTCCCAGTTTCACATTGGGACTTGAGTCCAAAATGACATTGCAATGTAGTCCTGTGAAAGTGCTTCACTGTCAGAGGTCCTTCAGATAAGATGCAAAGCAAGATCATTACTCAGGTGAATGTTAAAGATCTTATAACACTTTTCTCCTAGTCAACAGTCCTCCAGATAAATTCATCATACGCTTTCTTGGTTGTACGTGGGACCTTGCTGTGTAACTGCTATATTCAGCTGCAAATTAACAGCAATGCCTTGTGAAGCATTTTGAGACGTTTTGATAATATGGAAACTGTATCAAATGGAATGGTTTATCTGAATACCCTTATCTATGAAGTCTCTAACAAAAATCATAAAAATAAGTCTCTAAAAATAAAAGCAGTTTTAGTCAACCTGGAGTCAGTCAATTGAGATATTGAATATCTTTGACCAATCAGTCTCAGTTAGACCTGGGAGTGTCGGGACATCCTGATTCTTGGGAGTTAATGTGCTGGGTTCTCCCAGCTGGACGAATTCTGTCGGTTTTCCTTTTTCAGTTCACTCTTGTAAACCTTTATTGAGGTCATAGTTCCAAAGCATGAAAACACAGTCAGAAATGTTTTCTTCATATTCATTTTTACATAAATATTGATTGAAAGGAGGGTAAGCCAATAAGTGACTATTTAAGATTATTAAAGTTGAAACCCAGTTACTAAAGGAGCAGCTGGTGATGCTCTTTCACCTTCGGAACTGAGTTCAAAACAAGGATGAAATTCTCTTTGCTGCCATGAATGCTTCATTGTGAAATAAACTTTTGGTTATCTCAAATCTCTGTAACAGATGGCCACTACACCGAGTAGAAATTTGTGCAAAATTCACTACAAATTGTAGGTTTTAATCTCAATCTAAACTATGTGCATAGAATAGTAGAGGCTGATTTATTTTGTACTGAACCTATCCTGCATCTGATTTGGGACTGCAGGATGGGCCAACATAGAGGGAGGATTACTCTGCATCGAACCTGTGCTGGACCTGGAAGGGGTCAGTGGGGCAGTGCAGACGGAGCCTTTGTATCAGCACATATGCAGCATACAATTCTCAGTTTACAGTACATCCTGCAAAATGCTTTAAGATGTCTTTCTGACTTTTTTTTATCTAACCTGGTCTGTAGTTGATACGGGAGTGAATGATTAATGTAGTTTAGAGGAAGCTTTGCTCTGTATCTAAGCTGCACTGTTCCTGAGTTGAGATGTATAAAAACAGAAGTCACTGGGAATCTTAAATAGTCACTTATTGGCTTACCCTCCTTTCAATCAGTCATCATAAAGTAAGCAACTCCTTATAAACAAAAACAAGTGTACTTCACTCAACTCCTCAGTGAGGTGTATCCAGTGAGTTGCTGATGAATCCAGCTGAGGAACATCCCAGGTTCATTAGTATTGGCTACATCTCAGCCCTATGGAAAAGAAGGAGAAACTAGAGGAATAACATTTCACCACTTCTCACAGTGTTCCTTACTGCTACGCATTAACAGGCTTGGGAATATTGTGCGATGGAAAGGCGATAGACATTGTGTGACTATGGATAGACTATTCAAGGGGAAATGAGAAAAAAAACATTTCACAATCAAAATATTTGTGATTGTGGTATCTCGTTGGGAGAGTGAGAAAACATAATTTGGCTCACTGAGTCAATTCATTCCACAGCGTGTGTACAATCTAATCAATGAAGAAGTCACTCTCCCTTATTTTATTTCCAAACTGAAGATTGTCCAAAAAAGATTTACAATACACTGGTGCCTCCAATTTATTTCTTATGCAATTTATCAACCTCCTACTTTCAAAATGTCTCAACTTGTTGGAAAACCAAATTGATGTTAACCTATGAATTTGACATTTCTAGGGAGCCAATGTCAGCAGCATGAATATTCTTATAAGGAGCCAAGACGCAACTAAACCTAATAGTGTGGAACACCTAATAGAACCAATCCTTGGTACACAGAGTATAAACGGGGAATGTAAAACACTCCCAGATTTTTCTCACGATCCATAATGAGATATTGCGAGTGAATCAAGTCAGTGCAGAGATCTGTTGGGTAGATAAGCACGGAAACTCCTTTGTACAATCCAGTATATCTCTGATATAACTGTGGTTCTCATTCAAGCATAGCGTTCTGTGCTCCAGTCCAGTTCTCACTTGTTCCCCTTACTTAGATCATTTCGCCAGGCAAATCATTCCCTTACCCTTTATTCATTGGTCCAGTCAGTATGTATGAAACACAGTCAACAATGATTAATTTCACTTAAAGGCACTGATTTAACTATGATTTGATGATAATAGCATTGATTCAAGGATAAGATAAATGGAATGAAATTATGTAGATTCAAGGAAGGCTTAACATATTCCCTTTTCACACTAATCTTCTGCCCAACAATTTACAGAATTTATAATAATTATATTTGTGTGTGAGGTAACGCCTATAATAATGATGCATCTCAAAAGGTGACAAAGAGGCATCAGCTGGCAATAACTACACAAAATTAATTTATCTAATCTCCAAACAGCACAACATCGTCCTTCAACCCACGAGCACACAAGTTATACTTCATGAAGGAGCAGGGACTGTTCCTTCGTCACTTAAAGGTCTTAAACCACATAACTTCACAAAAATCTTAACACTGCAGTCCTGGTGATGTACTGTGGAAGGGCAGATGAGCAGAACACAACTAAGATAAGACAAACCAAATGTGAGTGTTAAGTGAACACGTAGGATGGCATATTTGGTGCTTGGAACCAAAGTTCAGAAGATAAATAAAGTAGCATCGATGGAGTTAAGATAACATTGGTGCGAGAGAGAGAGATAAGAGTAGCGGCTAAAAGATTTGTGCGGTATACTAAGTCTTACTTGGAGACTGTGGATCACCAATTAGATCAGTGACTTAATGTACTGACCCACATGGATGCAAAATATTCATTCCCTTGATTAGATTTTATGTGTAGATCAAAGAAAGCTCATGGCTCCTCCTTTCAAGATCAGCTCAATTTGCTTGTTCTGTTGCTATTGTAACACTTTCATTTTCCTTTGAGTTGAACCAACTTCAATTGCTCTTTCTGATAGAAGGTTGGTCTTACTGCAACAGGAAGGAGATGTGGAGATATTCATTTTATTTGCTGAAAATGTAACATTCAGGACTCAGTTTGAAAGTAGGATCTCCTTGGAACTGAACTGGATCCAAGGTGACATATTTGGCAACGAAATGTCAAAATCGAGCCAGTCCTCTGTGGCGGTCTCAGTACTCCAGTTCCCAGGGCTGCAGTACTCCAAGGCATTGCTGATGATAACACAGACACTCTGGTTCATCAGCAGGATTTGGAAGGACAGACCAGTCACTGGGAGCAGATTCCCTGACTGGTCTGTCCTTCCAAGTCCTGCTGATCCACTCAGCTCCTGCAAGCCAAAGCTCTAATAAGTAAGTTGGTCCTAGCGGGAAAGCTTGACAAACTGTGAGTTACAAGGGAAATGGCTCAACAGCTTTCCTCATAATATTAACAATAAAACACACCCGTGACAGAACAAAGAAAACATTGGCAAAAAAAACAATACATTTCAAAACCGTGACAAATCACAAACCCATCCTTTTGTTCCCCAAGCAATTGTATAAACACTATATTCCATTTGTCTTAAGGAAGAAAAACACACCTGTAACAGAAAAAAAACACGCATTCCACTTTAAATTGTGGATTCCTGTAGCTCAGTGATTAGAGAACTCGCCTCGCAAGTGAGAGACCTGGGTTTGATTCTGGGCAAGGCGAAACCTTGAGCAAGTTTCCTTACTCCACACGCGTGATAATAATCCCTCAAGAAAAACCCTGTAGCTCAGTGGTTAGAGCACTCGCCTCGTAAGCAAGAGACCTGGGTTTGATTACTGGCAGGGCAAAACCTTGGGCAAGTTTCCTTACTCTACACGCCTGATAATAATCCCTCAAGAAAAAAAGCAATAATAAATTGGTCACTTCAATCCACGACTATTTGTGGGATACTGCTGTGCGCAATTGGCTGCCTCGTTTCACTCACAAATATACAGTCAATTCACTTTACAGTATATTCTGTGAAGCGCTTTAAGATGTCTAGAAGATGTGAAAAGCGCTATATCAAATGCAAGGATTATTATTAGGTTCAATATTGTCAATATAGTGCTAGGGAGCAGTTACACTTTGGTAGTACCATCTCTGCCTTCCTTCCCTTACTGGATGGCAGGCCAAAATTCCCACTCCGTTGCTCCCCCCTTTAAGGGGAGAGACTTTTTCCTACCCACCCACGCACTCTCTTGGGACATTCTCTGGTTACAGGTTGAATATCC